CCCCTCCCCTCCCTCCTCCCCCACCCCCCCCCTGACCCCAGCTCGGGTCTGAATGCTGTACACCGTCCAGCAGCTTGGGACGTCCTCCCGACATGAAAGGGCTATACAAATGTAATCTTGTTGTTGTCACTTTCGTCACCTAGTACCTAAGCACCCTTAGGTTGCATATAGAAGTGTTGTCACTTGTGGTGAATTGGAAATCCAGATGTGGAGAAATTGCATTCTTGATTAGTAAATTAAAAACGTAGTAGACACCATCTTTGATCTCAATACTCCTATTTGCACTGCTTATGATTGTGTACTTTGACCTTTTTGTGCGGTTATTGGTAAAATGGTAAGGTGAAAAACTGTGCGAGTATGTGCTTTACTTCCTTGGTTACTGTTTATTGCTAAAATGGTACATAAAACATGTGAGAATGCTGGATTTCAGCACCATGGAAACACCAGCAATATTGGATGGAGAAAGGAACTGTCAATCGTGGTCAGCTCAATGAATCGGAATAACTGCTCCAAGCTGCAGACGAAAGCAAGCCCAGCCAGGACGCATGATGAAAAAGGCCAAGCAACATCCAACAGCGGTCTGAATGGAGAGTGGGGTGGGTCAGGCACGTCTCGCAAGAGAAAAATAATGAAGACTGCAAAGTTTTGCACTGAATGATTGTGGATGTTTCAAATAAACATACATATAAACATGAAGTACATTTACCTGTAATGTGTGAATGTAAGGTGTTTTCTATTAAAATGAGTGCATGTGGCTTAAAATGTTTTTTCCATAGCCACACCTACGGCTAGTCAGTGATTTCTATTGAACAACACTGAGAATATAACTTGAAGCAGACACAAAATATTTCCTGTTTTCAAGACTAACCCTTCTTAGAACAAAACCTCTTCTCCACTGCATTCAGTATGAATTATTCCAATAGAATGTAACAGACACAGAATATTTCCTGTGTTGAAGCCTAAATTGCTTTAAAACAAACTCCCAACTGCTTCCAGTGTGAATTATTCCACAGCCACAGTTCTTATGACCTCTCTGAGATTACAACAGCAACAACAAGATTCCATTTATAAAGTGCCTTTCACGTCAGGAGGACGTCCCAAGGCACTGCACAGTTGGGTCAGGATCCGAGCAGGGGGGAAATGGTCAGGGTGAGGGGAGGAGGGGAATGGACAGGGTGAGGGGAGGGAGGGGGAGCGAGGAGGGGGGAAATGGTCAGGGTGAGGGGAGGGAAGGGAGGGAGCGAGGAGGGGGGAAATGGTCAGGGTGAGGGGAGGGGAGGGAGCGAGGAGGGGGAAGAGAGTCGAGAGGGGAGCTGAAGGCTCGGTCAAAGAGAAAGGTTTTGAGACCGGCCTTGAAGGAGGAGAGGGAGGAAGCAAGGTGAAGGCACTGGGCTATGGAGTTCCAGAGCCTGGGGGCTGAGAGGCTGAAGGCCCGACCACCGATGGTAGGGCGGTTGGGACGGGGGACGTGGAGCAGGCCGGAGGAACGGAGGGTATGGGCAGGTAGGTAGGGGGATAGTAGGTCGGAGAGGTAGGAGGGAGCAAGGCCGTGGATGGCCTTATAGGTGAGGATGAGGATCTTGAAATCAATCCTCTGGGGGATGGGGAGCCAGTGGAGGCGAGCGAGGGTGGGAGTGATGTGGTCGCGGTGTCTGGTGCGGGACAGTACACGAGCTGCAGAGTTCTGAATGACCTGCAGCTTGTGGAGGGAGGTGGCGGGAAGGCCGGCGAGGAGAGAGTTCCCATAGTCCAGCCTTGAGGTGACAGGCGTGGACCAGGGTTTCAGCAGCGTGAGGGTGAGATTAAACTAATGTTAGAATTTCCCTTATAGGGGGAAACTTACTATATTTTGTTCGTATGAATTACAAATAGAGGTCATCTCCAATGTTACCACAAAGTTCAGTAGTGGTTTTGTATATTTGAGCAAAGGAATTGACTTTCTAGAAATAATTCATGTATATAATCTCACTTCTCAGGCGTAAATTTTGTGCTGCCTGAATCCACAATTATTCTGTTCATTTTGGTTGGGGATTGCCAATATAATCATAGTGATCTGCCACTAAATATGGAGTAACTGGAGTCAAAATTCACAATCCTTTCACTTTTTGTAGGTATTAGAGAGAGGTATTCAGCAGTAGGTCAAGTGGGAATTAGACAATGTTCTAACTTGCCATTTCATGCAGTTCCTCCTTTATATTGAAATGTGTCCAAATTGTGCTTGGCACTGTACCTTTGCCCCCCTCAATACTACAGTTCTGTACCTTAACTCGGCTCGTGGAGAATCGTAGTAATGAATCTCGCTTTCTGTTCATGATTGGACATACTGGAGCACACTACTCCACTCTTTAAATCTTGTTTTCAATCAATCAGCCATTTTTACAACATTTCAGGTGTGTTCCACTAATAAGTTTTGAAAACATTGGTCTTTCTGGATACCCATAGTTACTATTTAGCCTTTGTTGAACAGCTTATTTAATATGAATATTTACATTTAATATTTATTATTGTCTTAGTGTCACAAATGTATCCACTTGTTAATTAGGAACTGATTTTTGTTGGTATAAGTAGAAGCCTTATGATCCTTGTTTTTGTGAAGTACCTTACAAACGTGCCAGAAAAGAACATTAAGGAAAATGTTTTTCAGCTTTACTCAACTGCATTCAACAATTGTGTAGCTTGGTACTGTATTGCTAATTCTGTGTGTTTTAAGTTGGACGTGTACTGTCGTTTACACTGGTTGAACTGTAATATGGAGTTGTGGTTGGAAACTTTGCAAATTTGCTGTTACTGTAGAAATATTCAACAGTAATGTTGTCTATGAAAGAGTAAAACAGGCTGGGTACAAGTTGGGAATAATTTAAGGAATCTTGTTAAATGGGGTAGCAGAGACGGTGCAGTTTTTACGAGTGACTTGAATAAGAATATATTATTAAACATGATATGATACTTGACTCTGAATATCATATTTGAAAAGACTGACTTAATATTTTAGTTATGTGACATACATTTTGTTTAACAACATTGGATGGAGGCTTGTATCTTCAGAATATGCTGAAGGTGTGAAAAAACTGACGCTTTTGTTCTGGTCGTGTTCAAAGAAAAGCTCTATTTTGGAGGGCTATTTTTGAATTCCTTCCAGAGTGATTTAGATGCAGTGTGCAGCTATGCCTATTTTGGGTATACTAATCTGTATGTGACCTCAATACATAATGCATTACTTTTGGAATGATAGAAGCAACCTCCATGGCTGTTTTAGGTTTTTGGAAAGTCAAGAAATCAAAGTGAACTCAACATTCAATTATTTACTCCTACCTGGGAAAATAGTTTTACAGAAATGGGAGGCAATTGAACTAATATGGGCAACATTTCTGGGCCAATTCATTCATTTGCAATAAAAGCTAGAGTAAATATAACATTTATGTGGTTAACATCTTTGACTAATATTGGTGGCAGGTTAGCACTTGAACCCCAGACACAGTGATGAGTAAAATGGTACAAATCAGATAATGGATACTTCTCTTGTGGTCAAACTATACTTAAATCCTGAAAGAGTTGTATCTGCTAAAACATGTACCTAGTTTTAACTCTCCAAGCACTGCTGGTGAGTTTACTTGTCAAGGTTTTACTTGCATGGCTACCAACAAATGTATGTGTTGGCATTTTAGACTGGATTAATGTTTACAAATCTAGAATTGGCCAATCATAGTCAGGATACAATGAGCCTTTGATTGGCTAGAAACCTTTACATCTAAACCAATTAAAAATTAATCCAGAAAATCTTTTAATCAAAGGTTTGTGAGAATGTGGAATGAACTGCTGTAGAAGACCATAGATGTAGAATTAAATTAGGTGTTTTCAAGAGAGAGAGAGATAGTTGAGAAATTACAGTGTTAAAGGACTGCAATTGGAGCTACCATGATGTTATAAACTAAGCACATTCATAGAACAAATAGCTCATCTCTGTTCTGGTCAATTTATTTGTTTTGGACATTTTTGGTCTGCCCTTCGCCCATTTGCTGGGTTGATGTGTAGGAGGATAGTGTATTTTCACTGTTGATCAAACTTTGATGACTAATGGATGGTAATCTTGTGACTCAACATTACGCCTGCAATTCAAAATTTATAAGGACTACAGTTTATCATCACATAGTTAGAACAATTATCAGGGCAGTTTTGAATTGACGTGACTGGGTGCAGCTCAAGTTTCGTGCTTTTTCAGCCCATAATAACTGTCCTGATTAATCCCCAAGTAAATATTATGCATGCCTCTGGAAACACCCATTTTATGCTTTGTATACAAGTCAATGTCCAGCAAGCCTTCATTTTAAAAAATATTTTCTTTTAGGTGCTTGTATCTCATTTCTAGCATTATAGTCTCCAGAATTCAGTATATAGTGGCCTTCAGATTGTGTTACGAGAGAAGTTCTCCAGCCCAGGAGAAACCTACCAGTTTTTGGCCCTTTTCAAATATTGTTTGTAATTGCTTTTCCCCTTTAAATGTAATAGTTTGAGAACTGAAGTTATTATTTTTGAAACATTGTTGATCGTTTTGCAATATCAGGGAAATGATAGAAGTGACCTTCAAATCAGCAACAATTTTTGCAGATTGCAAAAACACTTTTAAAGATATCAAACTCTTTATTTTTTAGTGATGCATTTAAAAAAATCTAATTTTTAACCAAAATGAGGGAGTGACAGTATTACAGCTGGGTAGAGCACTGAGACAACATTTGGGTCAACATACTTAACGTTAGCCTTTCTCATTATACAGCAATTAAGTATGTGGCAATTTGCCTGAAACAAAATAAGTGAATTGATGCCTGGAACTTCCTTCTCAACAGAAAGTAGATCAAGTTAGGTTGAGCTTGGTGTATTATATCGCTTTGCTGTCAGTTTATGTTGTTTGTAAGCCCTGTCTTGTTTCATTAGGACCCATCTTATCAGTGCTAAATGCATTAGTACGCCTGCTTATTCTCCTGTCATGGCCTCAGTGACGTCTGCCTATGCAGTGGAACTGATTACAGCTCAGCTTATTAAACAGAAAAAGCCTGTGATTTCATAAGAACTCCGTTCCAGTTAACTTCATATTTTTGTAGCTTGTATTTTTATCCCCACTTTTTATAAATGTAATGATTCATACAAAGCACGTGAGAGGTTTTGCTGAATTGGTGTTGCAGAGATTAACAAAGTCAAAAGAGAATTGGCTGCACAAGAAACTTGGAAACAAACATAATGTCAAGAATAAAGGGAACTTCACCCATGGGAAGGTAGAGTATAACTGGTCTGGCATACATATTGTGAATTAATGTAATTTGTATGGACAGAAAATGCTGATCACCTAGAGACATTTTCCATTTAACCGTGCTTTTGGATGACTTTAAATGTCAGCTGGAAAGAAAGATCTTGTCTTTGTAAAATGGCAGTTTGTCACCAAATTAACATCAGTTAGTGTTTCAGTGTTTGTAAAGTGGGCTGCTTTTTATTGAGTATGGAGAATGTAGCTTGTATGTTTTTAAGAGCAAGAAAAAAGCAAATTAATGTCTTCAAGTAGTTGAGAATTTAATGAGTCTGGTCTAGATTTCAGTCTTAAATTCTATACTGAACAAGGATTTTACCAAAGCCACAGATGAGGACCATGCATTACTACTGTCTAATTAGTACGGTACAAAGATGTTAAGAGCTTATTTATATAATTAAGGTTACTTCAGATTCACTTAATCTAATTTGCTGGAGCTCTATCACATTGTGGACCTGCTTCTTGGAATCGATTACCACAGATTTACAGTTCACTTGTGCACGGTGTTTCCCTTTTGACCCTTTCATTAAATTGCAAAAGGTTTTCTGTCTGTGTTCCATTGAGACCTAATGTATGATTCCAAAATTTGATAGCTCTAGATTAAAAATGGTAATATGTGTAGAACTTCAGTTTGTACATTGACAAAATATGCCCTGTATGTTTAAAATAGCCAGTTTCAAGATGGTTAAAGTTAAAACTATATTCAGATAAGCAAATTGCTAATTTCATATTGATGAATACTGTATATATTTTGCTTTAAGAAACTATTGAAGATTAAAGTTTCAGCGTAAAGGATAAAATATTTATATTCTATAGTGCTATAATTGGAACATAATTGAATATAATTCTATAATTGAATATAATTCTATAATTGAAGAAAATGAGTGACATTAGAACTTTTTGCACTAGTCAGTTATTCCTGTTGAGATGTTTGGGATTTGTTGCAATGGAGTTTAATTAAAATAATCTGACAGTAGTCTTTTTAAAGTAACTGTTTGAAAGGTATGGATTGGAAACCAGAACATTTACACTGTTTTTTTCACTTGATGGTGAATGAGTAACTTTTAAGTCTGACTCACGGCAGCTTGCAGATTCTGCAGCACCTGGAAGTTGAAATTCAAGTAAACATTTCTTTACAATTTTAATTTAGTGAGCTGGGACTGATGTTCAGGTGTTGAAGTAAAATGGTAAACCACAACTTGTCTCACAAAACAGATAGGAAGTTACAGAATGCTGACACATTTTACTTTGCTTCCTTTTCTAACACCTGGCTTTGGAAAGTTAGTGGTTGCGATTGAGGTTTATTCAATTCAGTATTGGCCAGCTGAGGGAATTGATGCATAAGGTCAAGTATTTTTTCTGATGTGAGGGCAATTTGCCTTGTTAAGGCTTTTAAACTGGTTAATATTTTATTGTACTGGTTGAATATATTTTGAAAAAATAGGAGATGGGTTCATCTTTCAGCAGGAGGTTGTAGCTTGTACTTTGACGAGAATGAGAAGCAGTCTCATTTTTACTTGACAGTGGGCAACAGTAATACCTGATACCTCACATTTGACATCTTTAATATTCTGTCCCTTGTGATGGTCCTTGCAGTCATTTTTCCAATGTGAGGGCAAATTGCCTTAACAAAGCATCTACTCAGATCCTGAGGAAGAAAGATGAGATCTAAATATACAAAATTCTTTGTCGCGATCGGAATAAGATTAGGACCAAAAGTGCTTACAGAACTTATTTGTACCTTTTTAATTTGCCAGTACTCCTGGAAGAGGGTATGAACAAACTGAATTTTGTTCAGACAGTGATGTAATCATGTATGTGATAAGTTTGAAAACAGGATTTTGTGGCTTGTCTTACAAGTAAGTACTATAATTAGTGTCAGAGTAACCCCTAAAATAAGAATTTGCAGCTGTTCTCTGTGGATGTTCCAGCAAAATTAGCTGATATCCTCATCTTGCAAAAATTGAGTGCTTTTTCGAATAGAAACGCCTGGGTTTTTCAGTGGGGTGTCAGTCTGGCTCAATTGGGAACACATTCACCTCTGAGTCAGAAGGTTGTGGATTCAAGCTCCATGTTGGGAGATTGAACTCAGTCTCGGCTGACACTGGAGGAACGCAGCATTATTGGAGGTGCCATCCTTCACATGAAACACTAAACCAAGGTTCCATTTGCCTGCTCTGGTGGACGTTAAAGATCCCACTACAGAGAAGGTCTCCCACATAAAATTAGTAATTCACTTAATGTTTGTTTAAGGGATATTGCTGTGTGCAAAGTGGTTGCCACATTCACCTACAAAATAGTATCACTACATTTTTACAGTAAATTCTGTGAAGTGTTTTGAGATGTCCTCCTGATATGAAAGGCACTGTATTAAATGCAAAGACTATTATTACCCTAGAGTAAAGAAGACTGAGCGAGAGAGTAGGATGAGACTGGGTAGGCCATGTTGAGGAAATACACCAATGAAGATTGTTTCTGAGCTGTGCCTTATTCTCTGTTGTGCATCATGTGTTGCGGAGCTTCTGTCTAACGGTGTATGCATACAGAAAGTATTCAATATATGTACAGAAAAGCAATATTTTAAAATGACTTATCTGTTCCTTTGCAGATGATATTGACTGTTTACCTGAGTAACAATGAGCAGGGTTTAACAGAAGTTCCCATAACCCCAGAAACGACATGCCGAGATGTTGTTGAATTCTGCAAAGAACCTGGTGAGACTGGTTGCCATTTGGCTGAGGTGTGGAGAGGAAATGGTAGGTGTTGCAGTTATTTACTTTATCAGAAACCCAATATTTCTTCCTGACACCCTTTCTTGCAGTGAAGATTACATGTTTTATTGAATTGTGCAACATTACAATGTGTATAAGTACAGTGTACTTGCATACCACAAGTGATATTGCATGATTCAAAACTAGGTTGTGGATTTTGTTGGAATTACCCATTGAGAATTAGCTAAGGCAGAATTATATTAGGATGGATAAATAAGTAGGTGTTAGTCTGAGAAAGGTAGATAGTTTGGGGTTCTCATATTTGGAAGAATTGGCATGTCAGTAGCTGCAGCTCATCTGCAATCAATGGATTCCTGTGTCATTTGCCCTGCTCATGTTTGCAGTGGGAGCCAAAAGTGGTGTATCTGGAGAATAGTTGCTTCACCAGCTCCAACACATGGCTCACTTGCTCAGATTGACTATGTTACTGCGTGTGTCTTGAGAACAAGAACCCTGATATCTTTGGAGTTGTTTGTTGAGTTCATGGAATTACAATATCAGGACTTGGGTAGATGGCTCTGGAAAGGTAAAGTAATGGAGATTTTGTGCTTGAATTCTTTCCCCATCATAGAATTTGTAGTGGTTCAAAAGATTAAGGTTCGATTTATCAATATCAATTAGGATCTTGTACACTTCAACAAAATTTCTCTTTCTGAGTGACCATTCTCAGCTTTTGTATTGTTTCTTTAACTCCTGATGCCAATTCTAGCCAAGTTAATTGATTTGCCACTTTTTGTACATCTCCAATGCAAAGATATCTTGTCCCTATTATACAGTACTAGAATTTACACATTACCCCAGGTGGAGAACATTTAGAGTGTTCTAAAGTTTGTTCTAAAAGCTAACTTGTATAACTCGGCAACAAATAAATTGCAACACTTCACTTATGTTTATTTCCACCTCTGAGTTAACATAACCACTTGAGTTAAATTCCTGTTTTAATTTGCTGTCTGTCATCTGCCATCCAAAATTCAGTATGGAATTCAACGAATACAAATTATTTCCAAAGCCAGCCTGCAGAGATTTTTACAATGAAATATTGTTTACTCTGAACACTGTTACTGTTAGATACAAATGAGTATTATCATGTTCCTTAGGGTAACATTCTGTTTGTTTGACAGAGCGTGCCATTCCTTATGACCACATGATGTATGAACATCTGCAAAAGTGGGGGCCTCGCAGGGAAGAAGTGAAATTCTTCCTCCGTCATGAAGATTCACCTATTGATGCTAATGAACAAAGTAAGTAAAACCATTGACCAATTTGAAACTTTGCAAAGAGCAATAAGCATAAGGTGGCCAATAGGAGATGGACCATTTAATTTTCGTGGACTAGTTTACAACTTCAAAGGACAGATCAGCTGGTCGTTTTTTTTCTCTCTCTGATAAAGGGCTGGATATACTTTTCAGCTTCAGGGCTTCTATCGCAATGAACAGATGAGTGGGAGGGACAGATGTTGTCCTGTTACGAATTCCCTTGAGAATTTTATCAACTCCAGAGATCCGCCAAACTGTATTGTAATGATCTTTGTGAATTTGCCTAGGAGTCTATTGCAAAAAGAAATTGCATTACTGTTCGTAGCTTATTGTTAAATTCAAACAACATCTTTGATCTGGCTTAGAAAGGATCATCATTTACATTGTTTCTGACTTGCTGTAGGTAGTTGACGATATTAAATTGACCATCTTTTATTTGTTTTGGGTATTGAGAGGAAATTTCCCATCTCACTGAATCAATGTATTATATGTTTGATTATGAATGTAACAAATGCAATTAAAACAATTTCTTAACATCTGCCCACATGAACAAACTTCTCAAAATGTATGGCGCATATTAGGTTTTTAGTGTGATGTACATTCACAAGTTATTCATCACCTTGAAAGCTTTGGCTTTATCTGAGTCCTTCAGTACAGTCCACAGCATTGTGGCTGGCTACTGTGTTGATAATCTTGCCTAATTTGTACAGCTCTTAAAGCTCCTTCCTCTTGGAGCACTTTGAATCACTGTCATTGTTGCTGCATTGTGCATTTCAAAATGAATTACCATCTATGGTCTTTCACCAAAGTTATGTGCATAAACTTTCTAATTTTCTCACAAATTGCTCTATCTAAACTCGTTCATTTTCTGAACTTTTTCAAAAATCTTTCTTCATCTCTTCACAACAATGACCTCCTCCTACTCATCATTCCTATGACTTGAATTTAATTCTAGAGTTGTTTGAACTTTAATTTAATATTTGGATTAATCCTTTTGTGTTATTCATGGCAACCTATACAGACATTAAATTCAGTTTTTCAAATCTTGCATTAAGGTGCAGACTATTAGTCATGTTGGATTTTTTTTAAATTGTGAGGAGTTCAGCTGGTCTTAATTTGGCTCTGACAAAACTACTAAAGCCACATGTCATAAACAGTAACATCTGGCAATATGATGACGCCTAAGTGATTCTGATTATCAATCCTCGAGACTTTATATTCGCAGACAAAAACAGTTTCCACATTACTCAGCAGTCCCTAAAACTGCTGAAATGGACTAACATTTTACGTCTTACCCCTTTATGTTGATCGCGGGGACTGTGCAGATTTTGTTGACTTAAGCATGGAGAGGCAAGGGTTAAGACATAAATGGTAAGACCATAATTAATTTAATGTTGTTAGGGTCTTGAAAAATTTGTTGATATAAGCATTCAGGAATTTTCCGTCGACATATACGGTAAGTTTAACGTGTTCATGTTTGGGGAAGGACCTGAGACTTCAAATTTTTGGCAACATATTCTGGGTGTAAACGGTTTGAGATAAGTGGGTAGCACTGCCTTGGTATAAAAGGTGGCTTTGAATTATTCAATCGAATGGCCAGTCTTTGTTTCAATTGAATGATTGTTTTAAGGGTTATTTTTATGCTTTTGTCAGGTGGCCGTCAACTTCAAGATCAGCCAAATAGGTGGAATGGAGTAAATCTGTCAACAGATAGACGTTTTGAAAATGGGGTAGGTAATTCAAATTACTCCTGATTTCTTACAATTCATGATCTTAGGAACAAAAAGTGGTATACAAAGAGTTTGGTTCAACTTATTTTTAGGTTACTACACATGTGTGTTTACCTTCTGAATTGAGGGTCCAGTGCCTTGGGATGCCCTCCCGACATGAAAAGTGCTGTACAAATGTAATTTTGTTGTTCTAGAGAGTTGAAGTTTCTGAAAAATTTATGGATTCATTCAAGCTTCCATAAATCCTAGGATTTATGGACGCTTGAATGAACCAGCAACTGTTTATTTTTGCCTTACAATTTTTGGAAATATGATGTAGTGGTCTGCTAATTGAACTATTTTATTCAATATTCTAGAGATAGTAAGCATTCTGAGATGCTATTTGAAGGAAGCATGTTGTTGTTTATTAAATTGGATTAACCATGTTAATCGAGGAAAATATAGTTTTGCCAAATGAATACCCTTATCAGTTGTGTCCAAACCCTGTCCACATTAGTCAAATCTATAGTCTATATTTACATGACTCTTCAACTGATATATTTTTAACAGTGATTTTCCCTATTTCTTTTTGCCCTAATCCTAACATAGCATATTCAGTAGCTATCGTGATTATAATCTGGCTACAGGCTTACTCGGGTTCTTTTGATCTTTCAACATAGACATCTGGTACTGTAAGATCAAAAAAAAACCTTGCAATTCAGTCACTTGCCACTCTTAGACAAGATAGCAGCCTGAAGTTTAGTTGTAGTACAAAAAAGGATTGAATTTAGTGCATAGCTGAATCTCGGGGGGAGGGGTGCTGAAAGGGAGGCAAATTGTGGCCTTCTGTTGCTTTAATCTGTGCCAATATAGAGAAATTGAGGGATGGATAAAGAGGAATGCTGATAATGTGCTGTAAAATTTATTTGAGAGAGCAGGGAAAAGCATTTCTAGAAAAGCGAAGTGGCTTATCAGGTTTCCAATGATGCTTTCAGCGCAATGCACGTCACGCAGGAAGTCATATCAGGGGTAGCCTGATTACTTGGTAGTCGGATATATTTTTAAGTATAAGAACCCCAGCTGGTTTTCTGTTGGTATGCACAGATGCATTGCTAGTCATATGATTGATAACATCACAATGTGGCTGTGCAGAGTTGAAACGATGCTCTGTTATAAAACTGGTTTGGATTTTATGGACCCCAGCTATGGTGCTATAACTGAGCTCTACTGTGGTTGATTTGATCTTTAGAACATTCTATTTTTCTTTACCTTTCCAAAAATGTAAGAATATGCTGTTGGGGAGAGGAGTGAGGAAGGATAAGGAGAGACTGGTCTGCATCGCAGTTTCCAGTTGTGTGCTACTACATTTCAGGGAAAAAAAACAGAGTGGAGGCATTAGGTTAATGGACTGAATGGAACGGCGATTACATTTTAAGCCAGTGTTCCAATTGTGTGCTTTGAAATGCAGTTGTGCTCAACTTTTCATTTTCATGTCTCATATGATGGTATTTGTAGGATTAGAAGATTACAAAGTGGTAAAAATGTCCTTGAGTAATATGATTTACAGATCAAGTCAGTAAATTGGAAAATTCTCTGCTATGGCACATTACTAGGTACTGTTTTGCAAAGAAGTGTTTTGTTCTGTGGTAGCTGTTACTGCACATAGGATTGAGGTGAGCTTGATTAAATTTCATTTATTCATTCAAATTCTTTGGAAGTTTCAGACATTCTTGAGTTTAATGTTAATTTAATGCTCTTTCGTTTCACCTCTCACTTTGCTATTACACAATCTGATTGGATTGCTGTGGTAAAGTGGGAGACCTTTTGAATGCATGAGGGAGGATTATACGATTGATGAAAAACAGTCTCTTTGGAATTGACCTGCTTGTACAATATGGTGTTCTGTGTTTTTTGGGGGTAGTGGGGGAGAATGGGGAAAAAATGATCTCTAAATTCCATAACTGATCCATGATGCTTACCCAGGATAATGATCAAAAGGGTCCTCCATTGGGACAGGTAACACAATTTTACTTATTCTAGTCTGGAACATATCCATTGAACAGCAGGTAGAATCTGTTTTAGTCATGCACTTGCAAATATATATTTTTAAAGTATTGTTGACTTCTGCACTAATAATTTGAGTGTTTGTCAATAACAAGATTTCAGCAGTCTGTTGGTGTAAAATATTCAGGGGGATAACTAAAACCAGTGATTTTGGCAAGTTGCTGAACTGTCAGGCAAGACCAACAGTCATCTGGATATTAGTGTAGTATAATAATATATATTAGTAATTACTGACACTTCTTTCTCTTCTTTCCACCCACCTATTGGAGAGGATATATAAAGATGAGAAAGGGGAGAACTAAGATAAATGTTTGAGGAGGCTCTTGTTTTCAGAGCAGAAAACTAGTTTTAGAAACTAAATTGTAAATTCAGCACACTTGCTTTACAAAAGTGAAAACTTCTATTCTCAATGCGGACTGCGCATAATATCAATTTGTTTTTATTGACTACAGCAAAGTGTGTGTTAGCTCCTTTCTATGAGAATCTGTTTAAAGTCATTCCAAATTTAAAATAGCCTTATACATAGGGAAATGTCAGGTCCAAAGCAATTTAGAATCACTTCAAGCAGAATTAGTTGCAAAGAAGCCTTTGAACAGCCTTCTTGTCCCTAAAATTGATATAATACACATTTCATGAAACAAAATATTAACTCTTACATTTATATGTTGTGCTAGAACTCCCTGACTCATTACCTCTGCCTCGCCCCCTCTATCTTTCAATCCCACCTTAAAACCTACCTCTTTGGCCATACCTATGGTCACCTCCCTCTCCCCTTCTCCCTTATTTGGCATACCAACAGTCCTCCCAAGATGTTATCCTGTTTGAAGAGTGCTATCTAAATCCATGTTTGTAGATGTTTTAAAATGTTTATTTCATAGTCTGTAATATAATTAAGGAATTCCAGATGCTCCTACTATTATAAGCATCGCTGCTCACAGTTTATCTCCCTGCGTGGCACTATTCTGTCATTAAATGTTCTGATGCATTGCAAATTGATTCCATCAAATAGGAGCATATATGTGACTTAATGCTATTTAACTATCTTGATGCAGAGAAATATTTTCTTTGTCTCAAGGTGTTATTAAAATAGAAACATTTATGTGTCTTAATGGTGAATGAGTTTGTACTTTCAAACTCAAAGTAGCTGGATTTTTGGTGAGCAAGTTTAGAAACAGTCCCCTAACCAATTTTTAGCTGTGTGTATCTTGTGTTCAGGAAGCAAAATTAGTAATTTACAGTTTATAAGATCTGCAAATGTGATACTGCAGTTCTACTTAATATCTTACCTGAAACGTACTTTAGCGTGACATGTTGGTAAACTGACAAATTGAATACCCATATTTTACATTGTGTACATTGTTTTACAGCAAAACTGTCCTAGATTCCGTCTTACGCTATTCATGATTGAGTTGTTTTTACATTGTTTCTGTAGTTATTAAAGTAACTACTTTCACAAAGATAATTTCAAGAGTGTATGTTGCCTGCGACTCACAAGAGCAGTAAGATTGGTAGATTTTGTGCTTATGGCAGTTCGTTCTGAGGTTCAGCTGTTAGGACATCCTCCTGACGTGAAAGGTGCTATACAAACGTAATTTGTTGTTTTAGTTTTAAGCAGAATTTTCATAATTCCATATCATGAGAAAATAAATCAGTACGTAAATCAACATACAATTGCTAGGATAATGTTGTAGACCTCCAATCAAGAGGCTCAAGAGCACTACATGTTGCAGATGACTGATACTCTCTTCTCAAGGAAGGGAAAATACAGAGAGAGGGAGGAAATAAAACCTAAATCTATATTATGATTATTTTTATGGTCAATAAGCCAGTATTATGCAGTGTGATTGGTTTAAATGCCTTTCCTTCCAATGCAATGAAGATATTGTTCATTTGGAATAAGCTCCATGAATAGTTAACATATTTTCCATGGAAAGTGAAAATGTAACTTGTCAAGTTGATTAGTTCTGACAGCTGGGTTGATCTTCCCTTGATTAGGTCTTTGACTGTAGGCAAAATCCACTGCCCTTTCCATTCAGTGAATGCTGAGGATGTTTTTTCATACTGATACAGGATGGAAGAAAGAAAACAAAGTCCATTTAGTGTAAATAGGAAAGAATCCATATGGCAACTGTCATTGATTGTAACTGCCTACTCAATTCAGCCTGCATGGCTACGTGCTTGCAATGAACTGATGTCATTATTCAATGTCAAATGTGCCTACATTGGATTTCCTGATTGCCATCAGAAAGTAACACTGTAAAGGAGAGGGACGACAGCACCAATATGGAGTGGAATCACATTGAAACTGTGGAGGAGTTTACAATGGAAGGACAGGTTCAGGTGTACTCGTATAAGATCACTTGGCAAAATGCCATACAGGTAGCAGAATTGTAAAGTAAATTTGTGATAAGTTTGATGTTACTATTATTTAAATGTTGCTGATGGGGTGTACACCTTTTGTGTGAATGGGGAAAATTTATAATTGTTCTTGGCTAATGTTTGCTTTGTGCATCTTGTCATCCAAACAGAAATTGTTTCCTGCTGTGTGCAGTAATAGGAGGCTGTTGCTCAAGCGGCCATGAACATTCACAATGTGTTCGAGCTTCTTGGAATGTCCTAGTTTAATGGTGAATCATTTTGTTCATCCCTGTGTGCAAACTGTAAATTGCAAAACTGAAACTACAGCGAGAGAGTGTCAGTTTTGCAATTTTCAGTTTGTGCACTGGGAAGAGCAAAATGACTCACCATTAAAGTAGGACATTCCAAGAAGCTCAAACACATTGTGAATGTTCATGGCTACTTGAGCATAAGCTGCAATTTCAGGAAAGTAATGTATTGACTGCATTTCAGAACTGTTTACTTAATTGGTTTGATTTACTCTCACAATTATTCATAATTTGTAAAGTGCGAAATCCCCATTTGAAAGCATTTATCCACTTCTAGGCTCTTTTACAAAA